ACTTGTTTTTAAAACGGGTAAAGTTATAAGGAAATTTGGTAACTGAATTAGGATGGTGGAGAAAGAGTGAAAATAAGTGATTAGGCGAGGGAAATCTAGGACTAATATTGTTTTGACATCTGCTAAATTTTTATATCATTTTTTAAAATAAATTTAGATAGGTAAGTGTACACTTGTACGCTCACCTTGCCAGATTCTATGTAGTCGTTGACATTTGTGAATGCGGCGAAGTTGGCGCTTCATTAACATCTTAAATTGCCTTCGATTTTGTCGTTACTTTGTGCTTGTGTATGTGCATCCATCTTTTGTTATATTGTCCAATAAATTTTCTATATACTTACACAAGGGTATCCACGTCTATGCGACACGGAGGAAAAGTATGTAGGTACTCCTTAAATACATTTAATAATAGTATAAACATTGAAATTGTAAATGACGTTGCAAATTGAAATAATTGAAAACATTTGTAATAATAATTGTAAACATAACAGCAATCAGAATCAGAATCTCAATATCTGGTCGCGTTCCAATCATGAGACAAGCAAAAGGGCACCAACAGGTGGCATACTGTGTCTATATGCTGTCGGAGCAATAGCTTGGGCGAGTCGAAAGCAGACTTCAGTAGCTATATCTACGACTGAGGCTGAAATTGTCACAGCTAGCGAAACAGCACGCGAAATCGTGTGGCTGAAAAAGCTACTTAATGAGATTTCTGTTCTAAAGCAAATGCCAATTCTGTAAGTTGATAATGATGCCGCAGTAAAACTAGCTCAAAATCCGGATCTGCATAAAAGAACAAAGCACATAGCAATAAGACATTTCTGTCAGAAAATTGGTTGCAGATGGAAAACTCCAAGTAAAGCATGTGGGGGCAAACCTACAAAATGCAAATTTCCTAACGAAGCCTCTTAGTAGACCTTCGATAGCTTCCATTATGGACCGAGTAGGTTTAGTTTGTTTGTGATTTTTTTTTAATTCATGAACTCCACATAAAGGGAGGAGATTGAAAGAAGATTGCTAATGAATCTCTTTTTTCCAGCTACACGAACTAAATTGAAGGGACGAACAAGTCGTTCGTCTGAAGGTAAGCTACACGCCTGACCATATCAGTTACAGTGCCACTCAGAGCTTAAATCGCAGATCTGAGGGGCACTGACACTGTGCCCCTCAGATAAGTTGACAAGTCCCATGTGCCTGTAATTTCACCAGCATCCTCACTCTTCAAAACCGAAACACAGTAATGCTGACATTACTGCTTGGCGGTAGAAATAGGTAAGGTGGCAATACATCCCTGGACGATGTCTTTCACAAGGAGCTCTACCACTAAACAGGTACTTATGTATCCACATTTACATTAGAAAATAATATAAAAAATACTTCTTCGTACTAATTGTTTGTTTATATTTCTTAGCCTAAACACTTTTTGCTCTCTTGCTAATCCCGTTTGAAATTTCCTTTTTAAGTTATATTGTTTTGAAGTTTCCCCATAGATTTAGTAAGTTTCCCAGTGTAGAAATATCATTTCCCGTTTTAAAGATAAAAGTTGTCAGAACAAAAAAATGTGTAATATTTCGACTAAAAGACTTGAATCCGAGTCCTAGGTCACGAAATAATTTAAAAAATATTGACATCAGCCCCACTCAACCGAGGACATTCGGTTTGTTTCGTTAGCCGCTCGTTAGCCGACTTATCCCTTCCTCTTGCACTCATGGAACTGTACATTTCACCAACTTTTTTTTCTCTTTCTATTAGGAAATGCTGTTGTGTCAATGTGTGTGTGTGTTACACACTTTTTATTCATATGTCAGTCTAACTAACGTCACTCGGAAGGAAAGTGGAAGAAAACATGGCGCCTATGGTTTAATTTTGTCGTCATTTTGTTTTGTGTTGTGATTTACTGTGCTCATCGTGACGGATTTGTATAACTACGATATGGCTAAGTCTTATTTTATTATCTAATCATCAAACTACATAATTCACAATAACTATTTGTTTTATCCTGGTCTATTTGCGGTTTAAATAGCTATACCCGTGCGCGTGTTATTTTCCATTCCATATACATTTGTGCTCGTTATTTTATTCTAAAATGTCTCACAGATGCGCTATTCCGGGGTGTAGTAGTCGACGAAAGGATTTTAAACTTTTTCTTGCTCCATACACCGATAAAACACGATGGGAGGCATGGAAGAAAGCATGCCCATTTTTTGAAAACTATGACCGTGAACCAATGAAACTTCAAAATTGTCGATTCTGCCCTAAACATTTTTATCCTGAACATATAAATGAACAAAATAAACTGACAAAAGATGCGATACCTATATTGCATTTAACTCCCACCGACGATCTGTCTTATGATATTAGTAATCCGAGTGTGTCTTTACCATCTAGTTTTTTAATTGATTCTCAGGCAGGTAATGTGCAATCACATGGTGTCGACCCCGGGCCCTCTGGTATACAACCTTTTTTAATTGATTCTCAGGCAGATAATGTTCAATCACATGGTGTCGACCCCGGGACCTCTGGTATTCAACCTTTTTTAATTGATTCTCAGGCAGATAATGTGCAATCACATGGTGTCGACCCCGGGCCCTCTAGTATACAACCTTCATTGTTTTCTCATGAATGTGTTACACAAGATTCTCACACTGTCCTGACTACCCCAGTTCGTACACATTCTAAAGTGGTCCGTAGTCGTAGACATGATATAGTTAGGAGAGTGCGCTTATTGCCATCGGAAGTAACACCCCGGAAAGAAATTTTGCGTGATAACAATAAAATGTTAAAATCTAAGATACGCTTGTGGAAAAGTAAGTACTATAACATAAAGCGCAAATCCAATCTAATTAGTTGTCCTAAAACATTACAATTCATCAAAAAATATAAATCTTTGAACAAGTTTGGAAAGCTTTTAATAGATTCACAGCTCCGTTTAACAGGTGTGAAACCTCACGGCCGCAGATACACCAGTGATGAAAAAATATTTTCACTTTCTTTATCAAAGTTAAGTCCAAAATGTTATGCTCATTTGAGAAATTTTTTTATTCTACCATCCAAGTCCACGCTAAATTCATTGTTGACTAATGTCCCGTTGCGACCTGGAGTCAATGATTTTATTTTTCAACATTTGGCTGATGCTGCCTTCGGCAAGTCAGAGAAAGATAAACAATGTGTTTTACTTTTTGATGAAATGGCCATTAATAAAAATTTACATTTTAATTTTCACACTGGGGTAATTGAGGGATTTGAAGATCTTGACTCTGGACAAAGGAGTTCCAATGTAGCAGACAAGGCATTAGTATTTATGTTACGTGGCCTGTTTAGTAGATGGAAATTTCCAGTTGCCTTTTATTTTGCTAGAGATGGAGTTAAAACATTTACCTTAAAGAACATTGTTAAAGAAATAATTATTGCTGTTTTCAAAACTGGTTTTTGTGTACGAGCCACTGTGAGTGATCAAGGCTCGGCCAATGTTGCAACCATAAAATCATTGACAGCAGATACTAATGCTGAATTATTACAAAACAATAGCACTGATCCAAATAACATATTCTATAAGATTAATAACAATGTGATCTACCATATTTTTGATGTGCCACATTTATTAA